TATCTAGTCGATAAAACCACATACACTATAGAACCTATTTGACGTTTTCGAGCTCTACTCAGACGTCTAATAACAATAGAACTTAGCAACTCAAACACTAAGCTTGTCGAACTGAGTCTTTTGTAGGTGTCACAAGAGGACTTCTTGCCTTTTTTGAAGACTGGGACAATCAGCTGTTCAGACAAATTAGAGAAGATCATACCTGACTCATACACTGGTCAATACTTCAGCTACCCCGACTAATAATCCTCTAACACCATCGTTGAAATCTCTGAAGCTTGTCTATCTGGTCCTGCTATTCTTCCACAACCCAGGTTATCCACCGCTTCCTTAACTTCTGTTAGAGTTGAAGGTTCTATCTCAATGTTCCATTTAGCACCAGACTTGACAGCGGACAACAAAATTGTAGCTGGTGGCCAGTGGGACTGTTCCTCGAAGCATTTCTCCCATCAGACCAATCATCACTGTGACTTAATCACAGGTCTCATTAACCACTAACCTTTTCACTTCCACTTTGTTTGATAAGTCTAAATAACTGCCTACTGTTACCTATCATTGTGGCTTTGTGCATCTCTTTGGCCTTCACCATCCACCAATACTCAAAGTTATTGCGTAGACACTTTGTCAGTTTGTGTCTCAGTTTCTTCTGCTTCTCACTGAGCTCGGAGCTTGCTGGAATGCTTTTGTATGCGTCCACTAATTCAGCAGAATCTTCTGAGACAATCTGGCCCTTTTAACTCACTTTCTGGAGGTCGGCTGTGTTTACAGCAATCTGAAGATGACTCACGGCTTCTGAATGAGTGTTCTTCTGTGTCGACAACTATCGAGCCCCTTTCTCACTGAAAGCAGCCTTAGTGTTACATTCACAACTATCCTGCTGTAGTAGCTTTGATACGTCCGTTTAGGCTCAGATTAACACTTCCTTGAGCCAAGGTGTGGTTGCAGTTCAAACATATGCTCGAGAAGCGACGAAAATATTCCAAGGAGCCTGTCGTTTTATGACTGACAGAAATATTCTCTACAAGTGTCGATCATTGGGTTGAGGAGAAAATTCGCCACATCGGACAGTATCTCTCTTTATATCTCATATTTTTGCTGTCCAGAAACAAGTGGTCGTCTGAGTACAGCTGTAATAGGCGATCGCCGTTATCCGATCTTTCAGCTGGGTATCGATGGTGCCACCTAAATGCTTTTGTACCTGATTTAGCGTGACGACTTACGGATTGGAATAACCTGCAACAACTACCATGTCCAGGAGTATAGCTTTCAATAGAAGGCTAAATAGTTTTCGGTAGAACTCGTCATCCACTTAATCAAAGCTGTAGTCCATGGGTACGTAAACAGGGACTTCAAAAAGACAAAAGCAGTTTCCACTGTTCTTTTAATCTTTAGTGCACTATTCAGTAGAATAACGCACAGGTGAATGTCAGCTAGAATCCAGTAGGTCGGTACACTTCTGCTCTAGCACTTAATTCTACACCTACACCTGCAAGACCACGAGAATAGTCATCGAATCTCCGAAAACTCAAACGGTGAATTTCGTGGATTCACCCGATTGGGGTCAAGTGAATAACCACACTTGGGTTTAGTATGCATTTCTCACGGACACAACATACATCTATGACCCACAATACCAGAAGTTAAGGCTAGCTAGGCGTGTTGACCAATCTGACAGGGCTTAAGGATATTGAAAACTTTAATGTGTAGTTTGTAGTGCGGTTTCAGGAGACCAGTGATGATGTTCTGCGAACTTGGGTCGTTATCAATAGCTGAAAAGCCAATTCAGGATTAATGAGTGACAAACTTGAAAGAAGATTAGAAGCTAGGTATGTGGAGGATGGATACCTGCTTTTTTCTTAGCGCTGTCCAGCTAACCCTTCTGATAAAACATAGATCTTCTCTCATTACTGCAATCTATTCTCTTTGTATTAGACATTCCATATTATTTGATGAGCTTCTGTGGATGACTGTTGTCATCCAAACATTTCTCAACAACAGATAGCTCAACTAAAGTATTTCTTCCGAGTTCATATTTCTCGTGCAGTTGTAAAGCGTTCTAAGTGACCTCTTTTCTAGCTCATAGGAAAGAAGCTTTTGGAATTCGAACCAAGTCGGGCCAAGTCTATTTTCCACAAATGTACCTTGGCATTTATTCATCTGTGCCACGTTGAATACCAGAATCCAGGAAATGAAACTTATCAGGGTTATGCTAACATGAACATCGTTGAAAAGATTTGGTATGTGATATACATCTCTAGGGTCACTGCAAAGGATGAACGCATGATCAACAGACCTGGTATAAAATTCTGTCGCGTTCATAGTATGCTTCTTCTTTATTTTCTATAGGTTACCCATGAATATGCCAGCCAAAATCAGATCCATTGAACTGCCCATTACGATTCCATTGACTTGAAGGTTTTAGTAATTATAGAACTAGAAATGGACATCTTTCTTGTCTATCAGCTGAAGGTACCTGAAATTATTCCCTCGTTAAAGCAGGAGGTTTGAATGTTGATTTGACACCTTTATAGTTCTACGAAGTGAGATCTTTGTAAATGAAGATGCAATGTCATAGAAAAACGTGGATTTTTTTAAAAATGCTCATGTTTTCTAGCTTTGAAATAAATTAAAAAGTGTCTTTCAAACTGTGAACAATTAAATTTGAATGGATTAGTTATAACTGTTTCACTGACAATTAGGCTAGTTTGCAAAACTGTTAGTTGAAAACAGACAGTTTTGGTCTCCCAGATACATATGGTTAGTGCCTCTTTGATAAGATATATAAACAAGGCAGGTTAAAACTTTCGGTTTCAATTAATTGTAAATGCTGTTGTCCATTAACTTCTCCTTGATGATTAGATATCTTAAATTCTTTGTAGTTCATTTTTTCATTGATTCAATTGATTCTTTATCTGAATGATCACTTTGGAATGCTGAATTACCCACAAGTGTTTTGACTTCAGCTTTGTCCATCATCACAACGCCAGAACCTTTGTTCGATTGAAGGATAACAGTGATTCCATCATTCATCGAATTGTGATGTTGGTGACATATTGTGTGAATTGACAAAACCAAGAAATAGAGATTTTGACCAACCCTATTTCGCTTCATCCACTTGCTTCATAAAAGATAGTTGGTGGTAAAAATTCTTAAACTGGGTTTTCGGTGTCACTTTTATTGACGAATATTCTCGGAGTTCGGAACTCGAACTCAAGTGGGAGGTTTCGATTTCTATTTGACTTTACACATGACAGGTTGCATATATACTTTCTAGGTATTTTGGCAATAGCTTGACGTAGCTTTTCTTCGATATAGTTTTTTTCAAAATTATATCCACTTCTGTATTCAGATTAATCACCTAATAATCCTATACATGGTGGATCTTCCTGAAGCATTCCTAACGTTCTCTTCTGCTTTAACTTTTTACAGTATTTATTATCTATGCTACTAGTTAATCATGTTGGTAATTTCTTGTCAGCTTGCTAAAAGTACGTTTAATTCTTATAATGTATGCATTTTGATATGTTTTAGGTTGTAAGCAGTTGGGAAAAATCCTTGAAATAGTAAATATGAGTTCGCATTTTGCTGCTACATTTGATGTTTTGGCACTGTTCCAGTTTACAAATGAGAAGAATGGTATGAAGATTGTTACATGCTCAGATTTTCTTATGGCGCAGAAGAATAGTTCACATGGAGAATATGCTCTATGTTGGTAGTCAGTCGGTGGGGTACAGTTCACAGCAGTGTAACATGTGTACTTTGCAATTCTGGTCAGCTGACTCCAGTTATCATTAAACGTGCAGACTTTGACAGCTAATTAGGTTATAAGTCAATGAATATGGTCTGCTTGACTGAAATTAGGGTAACCGTGTTGAGGTTTCAAGTGAGCATGTGGTTGATTTTAGTCTTTACCAGTTTCTTGTACATGAATTTGCCAAATGTAATGAGGAGTGAGTCATTATATAAAGAAATTTAAAGTTGGTATTCATTATGAACCGATATCAGTTAGAGGAACATTGGAAACCTGAGTCCACTTGAAGGATGTTTCGTCTTAGTAATGAGGCTCAGTGGTGCGCATCCATTGGGAGTCGAACCCAGGACCTTCGGGTTCCGTGGTCAGGATGCTGTCTTTAAAGCACTGACTCGAAATCCCGTAGCCCATATTTCCCACTTCTGTCTGTTAATGATGTTGCCGGACTTCCATCCGATGCTGTCGTTGATTAGTTGTCCTCATCTTCGACCCATCGGTCTCGACTTCTCATTGGAACTTCGGAAACCCCCTCTCGAAGCTAGTCATAAGTAAGAAATGATACCAGTCCATGATGAATACCAATCTCAAATCAATAAATAAATCCCCAAAACTTTAAAAAAGAAGTTTAAATTTAATAGTTTTACTATATGCTTCGAAAAGTTAAAAATTTAGCCACAAAAACCAATAAAAATACTCTCCAATTGACTTAAAACTTCAAAAAGTTATTGAGAGCAATTTTCACCTTAAAATGTATTGATGCTTAGTAGTTTAGTTCTTGTCTGTTAAGTTTTTCTCTTGTGAAGACTAAAAATATATATTCTGAAAGGCAAAACGGCTAGTTACGTCATCGCTTGCAATTTCATCTCGTTGCAAGGCACGTACGTCCATTAAGCTAATCTCAAACGCATGTCCTGGATTCCATTGCTAACTACTGTACATCATTCCCTTAAAAAAAGGATAGCTATTTAGGTACTGTGAGAAAGATAAGGAAAAAATTTTTATGAAACGTTTCCCTCTTCTAAGGGACACAAATATATATATATATATATATATATATATATATATATGTATATATATACGTATATCGTGGCTTATTCACGATATCATCAAATGTAAACAATTATCGTTTCTTTAGCAGGCATAATAATTTTTCTGTTCTATCCAATAAAATTCTATTCAACTGTCCAATACACAAATTTTTATGCACAGAATTGTGTGCATATATTCATGAGACAAATCACTTTAACTTGAAGAATAAGGCTAAACAGTATGGATAGTTTTGTTGTGTCACAATTATTCAAAATGTGCATATATTCATGTGTGCCAAAGTATACCTACATTTAGCAGCTAATCTCTTGTGATGCGATTCGCGTTAATAGATTATATCTTTCGCTGGTACGCATAAATGTATGATCATATGCATAAATAGGGTAATAGTAAATGTAAACATTTGAACAGGACGTTTGATATTCACTTCCCATAGGGTTACTTATCATCATAAAAACACTCAGGAGGCTGGAATGGCTGCTATCTGTTTATATTCCTGGGATATGCATGAAGAGTGAAGTAATTATGCCTTATTAATGGGGAGAAATGGATGTATAAATCCTTGATGAAGTAGACAATACATCCAGATACTATGAGAATTTCATCATCAAGTATAATACTCATACAACTTATGGTTCCTCTGGTAACTGTTACATCATCTAATAAATCGACTAGTGGATCAGTTGGTCCTGATGTTAAATTTCTTTCGAATATTATTGGACCGCCAACACAATTAATGCTTGAAATTGCCTGTGATATACTACGCCCATGTATTAAGGTGTCATGGCTTCCACCGATTGGAATTCATCAGTCATCCGATGATACAGCAGATAACATTATGAAAAATCAAGACAAGATAACTGGAGATGAGAATGAAAAGAACACGCAAAATACACTACTAGCTTATAATATACGTTATCGTATTATACACCCGATTGAATTATCTCATTCAGGTTTACACAACAAATTTTTAAATGCTGTTGACGGAAATACACTTCCATATCCGAAAACAATCGAGAAAAATATTACTGGACTACAATATACTAGTACTCCAGGTGAACATTGTAAGTTGCGATTTCTTTATTGCATTTCTTCTTCTTTTCATTTACTAACAGTTTTACAATTGTTGATATCTTTCAAACAAAAAGTAAACATGTTTCGTGAAGATATTGTAAACCCAAGAGATGCTTGTTACGTGTGAAATGATGAAAAAGCTTCTCCATGGAAGTAAACTCAGCTATATGTTGATCAGAAGCACTAGAAATGTCACTTAATGATGTAGTATAGGGAAAGAGAAGATTATTCGAGATAAACTGAAGACGGTAACATTCATATTTTTCGTATTTTGTATAAAAAGGAAAACTGTTTAGCTTTCAAGCAGCAGTTAGTCATTTTTTATCCCTATTTATGCTTACGAGTGCCTATTCATATTTTATCAATATAAGTGTAAAACTTGAGCACTGTGGTAGAATGTAATTCTATATTAGATTGGTTTATTTGATATATGGGGCACAGTGATACAGTATTACTTACTTGATGACTCTTTGAGTACAAATACTTACTCATAATCATATCAATGTAACCGTACAGCTTTCTACATCTGATTTTTAAAGTTTTATCACCTCAGATTTTTGTTTTATTGGAAGTAAAATTTTTCACATCTTCTGTCTAGGTGTTGTATCATTCCTACTGAATATGTTATGTGCTAATATGGTAAACAAAGATTCAGTTATTAAACTGCCTGTCTTATATATATATATATATATATATATATGTATATATATATGTATATATATATATGTATATATATATATATATATATATATATATATATATATATATTAAACGCAGTAGTTTTATTCTAGCCCGTTGTATGGTTATTTGTTAATGCATGCATTGTCATAATTGTTTTTTCTTGATTATTAATCTTATTGGGGTCTTTCATTCTACATTTGCCTAAATTCTTGTGTCCCGACAATCTAACAAACCCCAATCCACTAGTTTGACCTATGTACTTAACCTCATGGTCATTGCATGGAATTTAGCAGATTAAACTTTTTTGCATAATCGGGTCCATCGAATCAATGGGTGAACCTAACCTGTCTCTGAGTGAGTTTTTAGGTTTGAATGCCACCCTAATCGAAATCTTTTGAGAATTTTAGGTAAGTTTCTGATATTCTTTCCTTGAAGGCGTAACGCAATAAAGGCTTTGGACTCCTTTCTACTCATGTTGTCACTATTATTCATATTTGTATCACTTTTGTCACTTTGTTTCCAATGTGTTCTCACGAATTTCTTAAAAATCTGTAGTGAATAATTACTAATTAGTGACATTTCTTTAATATACTTCAATTCCTTGTTCGAGTCTTTCCACTGACCAGTGAGCTTCCTTGCTGTATTATTTGGACATTTGACTAAACCCACCTCAACCAATATTAGATGAGATGACCTGAAGTCTAGATACTTGTTGTAATATGTTGGTTTTCTATAGACGGTAGTATTTAAAATACCATCAATTCTCTGTTTTACTTGGTAACCCAATATGAGTAATTCTCCTCTATCATTTTCTACCTTGTAAGTGAACTGGATTGTGCCTATTACTGAGTTTGTATGTGTGAAGAAAGTGTCGAAATGTTTTGATTTCAACGTAGTAAATGTGTTATCCACATATCATTGTCAATATTTTGTTGACTTTGACTGCTTCCAGTAATTTTTATTTTATCAATCTGAAATCAAGTTTAAAAGTGTGTGAACTATGACAAATGAACACATGCTTTGCATGATATGTTACACATGTAGAAGCATATTTCCATGGTTTATAGTAGTCTATAGAAATTATTCGATAAATTTAAGCAGCAATAGTTAATTAAAGGAGAAACCTATTCAATCTTGTTATTTTAAGCAATATTCAAATATCTGTGCTCTGAATGATGAAATAACTTTGATCATGAGTTAGTGACATTATCTATGTAATTTCAAAACTCTAAGTATCCATCAACTGAATTTCTGATTTTTCAAGAAATTCTACCAACCTTAATTACTGACTTCATAGACATTCATGTATTTTATTCTGAACTGACTTTACAATAATCTACTTTTTTCAACAAATATTCAATGTTTCAATGTTTGCTTTTTGGATAAGAAAGGATTAAGCGTTTTACTAATCTGCTGTCGAAAATGTGTGATTGTTTAAATTATACTTTATAGTAATAAATATATTGTAATGTATAGTGTAATTTAAAATCGAATGTAGATTTTGTGATAAAGGATTAAATCATTTAGAAAATTAATTAAATTGCTAAACTGAATAACAACCAACTATTAGTCTATGGGCTTCAGAAACAATAGAATTCTATATTCCTAGTTAGAAGCTTCAAAGAGTAGTAGATTTATGCTCCAGACCCATGCAGGTATGCTCAGCTGTACTACAGAGTTAACATAGCTAAGATGCATGTAACACTGGATGCATCTGATTAGATAACCAACTCAACTAACACTAATGATGGAGATTTCTACAGATGATCAACTTACAAATGATTTACAATGTTCCCGGTCCATACCTGGGTAGTCTTTCAACTCTCCAGTTGTGCTGTCAAGAAGGTTTCCATTGGAAACCCCTCAGCCATACCATAGGATGTGTTCTGCAACACGAAAGTGTCATGAACCAGTGAGTGATACTACTACTGACCGACGTAACTAGTTAGAAACCACTCAAACCAAATTCGGCTGTATGAGCTGAGTTTGTGCAAGTATATCGCTGATGGGCTCATGGTTCATGGAGATTTTCAGTTTACCTGTGGGTATAATCAGGGTGATTGATATCAAACTGAGTACAGTTAAAGTAAGAAGAAAAGTTATTAGGCTTGATTTGTAAAAAAGGTGTTTCTTCAAGTTTACTAACAATTTAAGGCAGTTAACTTCACATTATGATAATTTATTTTGATGCACATACGTTTGTGTAGGATAAAGGAATATGTATTTCTTAAGTTCATTGCCTGAGCACTGAACTTTTTAGAATTTCGAAGAAAATGCATATTTGTTTAGTAATTCTTTCATTTATACACAAAGTACTCACATAAAATTGTACATCTTTCGACAGTGAATACAAAACACAGCTGTTAGACGCTTCAGATAACTCAAATGGCTTAGCTGGTTTAAATTAATTAGTCAGTCAGCGTAATGTAGATCCATTGAATTTCTTGTGGGGAAACTAGGTTCATCAAAATTACTTAGATATGGAAAAACTGATCAATTCAGAGGTTTTGTTAGCATTCATTAGTTTTGAAAGCGACAGTGCACATATACGACCTTTTTCAAGAACACTGGAAACTGATGTTCAACATTCTATTATTAATTCATCATCATAGGTGAATTGAAATGACTCCGGAGTATGACATAATGTTTATGACATTCACAAGTCGTATGCAGTCTATACGAGTTAAAGGAAGTAAGCTACATATTTTTTAGCTCAAATGAGTAAGATATTTCATGCGTTTTAAGTTGCTCATAGAATATCTAAATTGATTGATGATCGTCTGCAATTGGCGCAAGAGCAGATCAATAGTTGTCCACGGTCAATTTCAGTCAGAGGTTATCCATATGAAGATGTGTTTTTTAAGGCTATCATTGTATATGGTTGACTGAAATCTCTAATAAGACAAGGGTTTTATTTAAGTTCTCGATGTTTATTCCTAATAAGTACCAGTGCGCACATAATATGAGTCAAAATTTCGAAGAAACCAGACGCTTTTATGAATCCTTAAATTCAGATCATATGCGAAATTACCAGTTGAGATTAAGAAGAGGTCAAAAACGCTTTTGCCAGTTACAGTGGCTGCTTTGATTCAGTCAGTAGATGTAACATTTACTCTTTGACATTACCATGTTAACGCATTGTTTTGAATCATACTATTTATATATGAAAAGCACTGGCCATTTTCAGATCAAGATTCAATTTCTCTGAGATGCACCTTCATTTCCACTGTTAAAAGGATAAATTGATGGTTTGATTGCAAATCCACTGATATGATCCCATCCGTGGTAGATATCACTTACCTATGAATTTCATAACACTACAGACAATCATCTTTTTATGAAGTTAGTTATTTTCTCATTCGCAGATGTAGAGACTGACAAAATCCATGACAACTGGTTAACTCTTCATCAGCTTCATCCTAAACAAACGTTATTTGTTGAGTTATTTAGGATTAAGACTCGTTGAGATACAGCTAGTTTTTGAATTGCAGTCCGTTTATTGATTAGCTATTAGGATGTCTCGAGGTTTGAGCCTCACCAACAGTTTTTAAATATGAATCCATCCTGGAAAGATCTTATGGCCTTTTGACTTTAAGATGCATTTTCCGAATTTTGAATGGCCGACCTTGTTTGTTATTGATTAAGCGGGGAATGTTAGTGGTCGAAGTCGATGGTATTATGTAATGAACCGTCTTTGAATAACGTGAACTGTTTGATTTCTACTTGATGATTATATTTTGTGGTGTTTACCACAAAAGACAAGGTTGCCGGACAGAAGTGTTTCCAACTGAGACTCACTAACTACCAAGCGTCTTAAAATTCCTCACCCTATTCCTGATTTCAGTCTATGATAGCAGACATGGTAAGTTGGTTGATTGTAGCTCGAAGAGGAATCCAGGACACGCGTCTTATCCTATCTGGGACTTGCCAGCTAGATGCACATGCACCGAAGTGAGTGATGATATTCCCACTGAGACTCGAACATCACACCCATCGCCTCAAACCCCAACACGTTTTTCCATCATAACACGCAAGAACGATAGCCACTTCTCATACAACCAGTAGTAGTTATTACTATTCATTGATATACTTGTAATTCTCTATGTTGTATTATTGGATGTGACTGTTCAACCTCGATTGGTATATGAACTCGAATTTCAGTGGAGACAACATCACTCACTGGGGTGCAGATGCATCCAGTTGACGAGTTCCAAGTAGGGTGGAATGGACGTCGTGGATTCCTCTGCTAGCCACAACTAACCAAATTACCATAATTAACACTCAGGCAGTATGGAGGCATTCTCATAGG